GACCCTTCTTCAGAAATCATTTCTGAAGAAGGGTCCAGACCCGAAACGTCAGCTTTCCTGCTCCTCTGATGCTGCTTGGCCTGCTGTGTTCATCCAGCTCTACACCTTGTTATCTCAGATACTCCAGCATCTGCAGTTCCTACAATCTCCATATAAAGGCAAAACTACTTTTGACGCAGAATATGCAATGTGAGTCTATGACAATGCATTTATCAGTAATTTCTTGCCCTCTCTCAAAATGAAATCAATTGTTCAACAAATTGATTTGACTTTTTGCAGTTCCTCATTTGCATTTATGTTCTTTGCAAGAACAGCCAGAATTGATATTGCAAATTGCATTTACTGAGCTGTTATAGGCTTGAATCAAGGCTGGTGGTATTGTACTGGTCCTCACATTTTCACCATATGTTGGCATGATTGGAAAGAGTTCAGTTTTACAGCAGATGATAACTGCATTCTTCAATGAATAAGGTCTTCATCTACATTTTAGAGTCTTGAGTCCGGTATGACTATTTTGCTGAACTTGAGCTTGGATTTGAAATTTCAGCTCTCTTTCTCTCTCCACAGATGGTGCCAGACCTGCTGAGTTTCTCCGGAATTTTCTGTATTTCTTGCTGATTGCAATTCATTGCTGACAATAATTCTATTTATGGGGAATTGAATTTGTGTACCAAACGTTCTGCTTCCAGGATATCAAAATATGCTGTTCAAGTAGCATGCATTGATGTTCAAGTATTTAGAGATTGCTGACCATTTATAGCCCATCAGAATCACATCCACTGTAGTTCCTCATGCCTGATCACCTACTGTAAATTCAGCAGATATCAGTCAGAAGCAGGGCACTGAATTGTTGCCTCATGCCCTTGACTTTTCTTGGCTAAGGTCACTGAGATCGATTACAAAAGCCTTAATGCTGCTCTAGATGTGTTTGCAAAAGTATTAGAAGCAAAGTTTAAAACTGCTCAAGAAGCAGCTTAGTATGCCAGAAGATTCACTTACTTTTATCCAGTAGAAGGAGATTTACCCACCTTTGTAAAATAACAGAACACAGTGTAAAGTGAGCTGATGCCTCAAGTCACTTTACTTAAAAACTTCTTAGCTGACTGTGAATTACTTTTGCAGAGACTTAGGGGTATGAATGGTGGTATATCGATTCAAATTATTTCCTTTGATTACTGTCACAATCTTCTTAACCTGTTCTCGAGTATTTCTCTGTCGACCTGACTCCCGACATCAAGTTGCCCTCGTAGTAGGGGCTTGGGTATCCCAAGGCCCTGTGCAGAACTGTTACCGAACCAGTAGTTTGACACCCAACCATGGTAGAATTTTTGTTAAAGTATTAAGTTTGAAGGGCCTTTTCAAGGACATAGAGAAAGATATTGATATTTATGGAGGGTATTCTAGAATTTGGAGCCAGGGTAGTTCAGAATGTGACCATTAATGATAGTCCGGTGAAAATTGGAGAACATGAAATGTTCAATCTTTATGTGAAAAGATCATTGGATGGTGAGCTTTGATTTTACCCTGCCCTCTCCCTTCTGTGTTCAAAATTCAGTGCCACTTACTGTCCAAGCTCGTTGAAGAGGAATCTTCTCTAGTTGAAGATAATTTAAGACTGTTCTTAAAACAGTAACATAATTGAGGAAAGCCATTCGCTTCAGAAGAAAAAAAAATGAGGGAAGAAAATTGGATTATGCAAGAGATAATTTTATAGCATCAAGACAAAGTGGACGTGTAATAGAAAGATTTTCAAAGTGCTGGAAGTACTGCCTTAACAGCGATATATTGATTTTAAACATATACTCTGTTTTTGTTGTCTCTGTTTGGTCAGGCTGATGTCTCTTGAAGTTTCTTTCTCGCTGCTTTGTTTTCCTGCCCTAATTAGACCCACTAAAGTGAACTGGCAATGCATTTCACTATTGTTCTAGAAAGTAGCTTGGTAAGTTTCAGCTTTCAGTGCAGTTTCGAGCCTGGCCCAAGCTGTTGAGATGAAACTTCTTTGTTTGTGTTAATGGTGCACTGTAAAAGTGAGTCTGCCAAGTCCTTCTTGAGCATTAGCCAAGAATTGCAAAACCGATCCAAATTTTTCACTAAATTGCCAATTGTACTCCAAAGGCCCACTGTTCAGCCGTTGCCAAAGTGTCCCATTCTCCACCTGCCTTACAGAAGTTTATAAAATAATGAGGGGTATATCTGTTCAGCGTTAATGGTAACACAGTGTGGAGCTGGAGGAGCGCAGCAGGCCAGGCAGCATCAGAGAAGCAGGAAAGTTGACGTTTCAGGTTGGGACTCGTGGGTCAACTTTCATCAACTTTCCTACTCCTCTGATGTTGCCTGACCTGCTGTGTTCCTCCAGCTCCATACTGTGTTGTCTTTGATTCCAGCATCTGCAGTTCTTGCTATCTCCGGTTTGCTTTTTGGTGCTTGGTTTATCAAAGTACTCTGAGGTCGTATTACGCTCAGGACTTCAATCCAGTTATTTAGGTTTCATGTGTGTTCTGTATCCTTGCCCTGAGTGAAAATATTTCTGAATTGCAAACTGCACAGTTTTTGATGCAGTATTGTTTCACTAATCTATATTGTTTCATTCAAATATTTCTTGCAAGTAATCAATACTACATAACCCACTAGTAAAACAAAATTAGTATTATTTTGGGAGAGCAATAACTTCACAATTTGATTATATTAGAATGTCAGCTTGCCTTGATTGTTAACACTTGTCTCAGCTAGAAGTTAAGTGTTGATTCCAACATAGCACTGTGGATTTGGTGCATTTTTATTAATATTTATACACACGGTCAATCTTTCATATATAAGAACATTTCTCGTACTAGATGTAAGTTTTAAAAAGGCCTGTCAATCCACTGTAATGTGAGTTTTTTTAAACCAAGCTTTGGTCATAAATGGAATTTAAAAATGGGTAGATGTAAAAAAAACATTTTCCACTGATGAACTTTAGTGATACAAGTCACTTCTAGTTTTCATTTTTAAAATACCCAGAGGTGGGTTTTGTTTTATGTCAGCAAAGCCTGATGACACATTTCTGAAGCTTAATTTAGTTTCACTGCTAAATTGAAAAGTTAGATTATGAAAACTTGGTTCAGTAAATTTGTTTTTAATTTTTCTATGAGTGTACCACATTAATGACATAATAACAAATATCCAGTAAGGTCCTTACCAGACCAACGTCATGACAAAAAGGGACTCGAGGTGATGGTGATGTTTCATGCTGACCTCTAAACTGAACTAAGCATATGTCTTATGAGACAAGCAAAATACTGGAATTCTGAAATAAAACCTGAAGTGTTTAAAACACTCAGCAAGCCTTGTGTTTTACGAGGTTAGATGTCTGCCCAGTACATGGTTTACCATTATGAAATTTTGTTTGGAAATCAGACTTGTGTTAGTGCTAATATCCAGTTCACAGATATTCTGAAGAATACAAGAATTGAGTAATAAATGCAAATATTGATACATTCACAGAAATAAACACAGCAGAGTTATCAGCATTTTAAAGAGTTGAGTTCCATTGTCCCTGTATTAGTTGGTTCTGTCGCCTTGAAAATAAAATGACTTTATGAATGATGATACTCCTATGTATTTTTAAGATTTTTAGCTATTATTTTTCAGTTTTGGAACATTTAAAATGGTGGAATATTATTGCATGTTCAGGCCATTCTTGGCTCATGTTTTTTGCTGCAGTGGCACCTTTTTGTGTTTATTGCATCAGGGGGTGTGCTGTTTGCTGGATTTTAAAGCAACTGGAAAACAACATTCTATGGTGGATTTGGGAATTGGGTGATGCTGGGGAACTGACGTCTGGGATGGGAAAGAAGTGAAAACATTGAGATAAATCTTTTTGGTTTGTAATACCATTCATAGATTGTCTGCTTACTTGAATGATCTGATGGAGTGAGGTGACATATTCCAAGGGAAATTCATTTGTCATGCATTCGGTGAAGATTGCTATGAAGGTGATTTGATTTGAGATTTGTTTTCACACCAAATTTATGATATTTCTGCAATGTGTGTAAAATAATTTTGTTTTTTTTTCGTTCTCTAGACTTGGTGCCTAGTGTATGCAGCCACACCTACCAAACTGAGATTCCTGTAGTGTGAGTAAAAAATTCTGATTTTACGGTAGTGTTGCACAAACTGTGGTGGCTGGTTAATAACTTTTTATTTATGTTGACATCTTTAATGTACTGACTGTCCCAAAATGTTTTATATAAACATTTCAAAATAAAATGTAATGCAGAGTTACATAAGGTCATATTATGTCAGCTGACCAAAAGCTTTATCAAAGCAGCACCTTTTTAAGGAGTGTCTTTAAAATGGAAAGCAAAATGAGAGATGAGGAGGTAGAAAGAGGGAATTGAAGGCTTAGGGCCGCCCTGTGAAAACACTGTAATCACCTGTGGGGCAATTCACATCGAGATGTTCAGGGGTCGGAATTGGATGAATTTGGGTTTTGAGGCTGCAGGAGATTGTGGAGTGAGGGCAAGGTGACGTCACAAAGAAATTTGAAAACAAAGATGAAGTCAAGACATGGTTTCCAATCAGACTATAGTAAGGAATGAGGACCTGATACATGAGGGCTTATTTCAAGTTAGGAAATGGACAGCAGCGTTTTGCTTCATATTCAAAGAGGATAGAATATGGGGCACCAGCCAGGATGATCAACCAGTCTAGAGCTTTGAAAAAAAATCAATGAATGAAGGATTCAGTATCTAATGTGCTGAGGCAGGGCAATGTTACAGAAACGGGGATAGTGGTCTTAGTGATGGCACAAGGATGAGGTTGTCAGCTTATTTTTGAGGTCACTTATGATATCAAAGTTGTGAACAATTTGGTTCACTCCCTTTGAAAAGGTTGGAAGGCAAGTGGTGAGGTTGACACAGAGTCTACAGAGACTTAGAGACAGGTTAAGTGAGTGGGCAAAAAACTTGACAGAATATGATCTAAGAAAATGTGAGGTCATGCCCTTTGGCAGGAGGAATAAAGACATGGAATGGTATTTAAATGGGAAAAGACTGTAGAAAGCTACAGCATAGGGATTTGATGGTCCTCATGCATGATTCACAAAAAGCTTGCGTACAAGTCTCGCCAGTAAATAGGAATAAATATGGAAAACCAACTTTCCTTCCATTGATTCTGTCTACACTTCCCACTGCTTTGGGAAAACCAACATAATCAAAGTCGGGCTGAAGATATAAAAGTTTGAAAATATGTATCAACAGATTTAAGAATGGCTTCTTCCCCACTGTTATCAGACTTATGAACAGACCTCCCATATGTTAGAGTTGATCTTACTCTGCACCTTCTCTATAGCTGTAACACTATATTCTGTATTCTGCTTTATTACCCTGATGTACTTGTGTTACATGATTTGTTTTGTTGGTATGCAAAACAATACTTTTCATACTTTTCATTGTATCTCAGTCCATGTGACAATAAGGGTTAAAATTAGGGAGGTCCTGCAAAAACAGTGTAAGGCAAGAGTCTGACCATACCTGGAATACTGTGAACAGTTTTGGTCCCAGTATCGAAGGAAAGATGTACTGGCATTGGAGGCAATCTGGAGAAGGTTTGCGTGGTTGACAGCAGGTATGGAGGCACTGTCTTAGGAGAGTTTCAGTTGGTTAGGCCTGTGCTTAGTGGAATTTAGAAGAATGAGAGGTGACATTATTGAAACATGGATGATTCGTCAGGGGCTTGATAGGGTAGAAGTTGAGGGGTTGTTTCTTGTTGTGAGAGGGTCTAGGACTAGATGGCATATTCTCCAAGTAAAGGGTCACACATCTCTTCCTCCTGAGATGTGGAGGAATTTTCTTCTTCGAAGGTCATGTATCTAGAGTTCTTCACTACAGACGGCTATTTAGGCTGGGTCATACAGAATATTGAAGACTGAAATAGACCAATTTTTAATCAGTGAGGGAATTAGGGATAATGGGGAAAAGATAAGGAAGTGAAGTTGAGGGTTACAAGATCGGCCATGATCACATTGAATAGTGGAACAGACTTAATGGGTTGAATTGTCTGCTTCTGCTCCTATGGGTTATGGTCCTCTGGTTGAATCTCGGACTGTTTCCAGAATAAAGGAAGGACTTGATGTTTACAGTGGCTTTGAAAATCAGTGGAATTCAGGCTGATGTATGGTGCCAGTGTTAAATGACTTATGAGTGCCAGGCAGTGATCATCTCCAACAAGAGAGAATCTAACCAACCTCCCTTGAAGTTCACAAGCTTCAAAATCTCCCCTCCCCCACCGCATCCTAAAACCAGCCCAGCTCGTCCCAGCCTCCCTAACCTGTTCTTCCTGCCACCTATCCCCCCCTCCCACCTCAAGCCACACCCCCATCTCCTACCTACTAACCTCATCCCGCCCCCTTGACCTGTCCGTCCTCCCTGGACTGACCTATCTCCTCCCTACCTCCCCCCCCTACACTCTCACCTTTACTGGCTCCATCCCTGCCTCTTTGACCTGTCTGTTTCCTCTCCACCTATCTTCTCCTCTATCCATCTTCTATCCGCCTCCCCCCTCTCCCTAATTATTTCAGAACCCCCTTCCCCTCCCCCATTTCTGATGAAGGGTCTCTGCCCAAAACGTCAGCCTTCCTGCTCCTATGATGCTGCTTGGCCTGCTGTGTTCATCCAGCTCTACACCTTGTTATCTCAGATTCTCCAGCATCTGCAGTTCCTACTATCTCTCCCTTGAAGTTCAATGGTTACCTTCGCTGAATTCCCTCAGTGTCAACATTCCTGACAGTTGCTACTACCAGAACTGGACTGGACCAGCCATATAGATACTGTAGCTTCAAGAAAAGGTCAGAAACTAGGAGTTCTGCTGTGAATCACTCACCACCTGACTCTTCAAAGTCTGTCCACTGTCTACAAGGCACAAATAAGAGCTATGACAGAATATCCCCCTCTTAGCTCAATGGTGTATTTCCAGTAACACTCAAGAAGCTTAACATCATCCAGGAGAGTTGTTAAATGGCACAAAGAATAGATAAAGTAAGGATAAATTATTTCTTTTGGTAAATGGAGAAAAAGTTCTTGAATTCAAGATTTACACACAAATTGTGCAAGATTACAGAAACATTTCCATCTTCAATGTTTGGTATGTGGAATACTTGCTTATCTGGATTAATGCCAATTTGATTACAGTATTGAAAAAGATATTGAATTTAACATTGCAATACGGTAGGATAAGGCTAGAAAGCAAAGACTTGAGTCAACCATATTTGTCTGATAATATCCATTTTAGTTATCCATTTGTGGAAATGTTACAGTCCTTACATACATACGGATAGGTAATCATAAATTTGTTCAAACCCTTCAGGTTATAGGGCATTTAGCTAGTTTTAGTGCTTACGTTTAAAGTTCATTTTTTTTATTTTTAGTTGTACTGTTTAAATTCTGAAGAAAAATTTTGCTGAGGACAGTTCTGTTTGATTCTTATCCTGAATCCTAGTTCTTTCCGGCTTCCCGTTGCAACCTGACTCTTTTTCCTCCTGCACGTCTCTGAGATTATTTCTGAGGGATTTATATTTTGGCAGAGTTGATTCTAAGTGCTGACAGTTACAGTGCATGCATTCTGAGAAACTGTTGCTGGCCGAAGACATCTCCTTTCTTGCAGTTAACAAAATGTTTATCCTGTCCTGCATTTCCTGTATTAGTCACAGCCCATAGAACCACCCATGTTGTGTGTTTCTTCTGCCCGAACATGAGGCACCAAATGAGTGAACTATCATTTCAAACTTAGAGGCACTCTATTCTGTCCCGGTGCTATTTAACTAGGTGATAGAAGGCTGATGCAGGTAATCTGAAATTGTTATTGCCCCTAATGTGCAATATCTAAACACCTTTTTACATCAAGTCAACTTAGCTATCTCTTAGCTCAATGTCTCTCCTTGCCATGCCACAATGCATTCATATGGCCACAGTTAATCCTTTGCCCAAGAATTGCCTTGGGCTCTTCACAATAATTGGCCATTAGTTCGTGACTAAAGTAGAATGTATGTGGGAATAGTCATGTGTGATTATAAAGTAAATAACTGCAGCAGACATGCATTCAGACAAAACATAGAACATACAGATGGTGCACAAATTCAGTACAACAAGGGCACAGTCGTGAACTTAAACAAAAAGCCAATGGGAACTAAAATATTGTTTATAAATTATTGCATCACTGATTCTTCTTTTAATTGGACACAGATCAGCCTCAAAAATAATGTGTCCTCCATTTACCTGATATGACATGCTCTCATCTAACTTTCATGAAGTGATGGATTGACTGGAATTAATAAATGAATATATAATAATCCATAAAAGATGATAATTTTCCCAGTTCCAAGATCGTGGCGCAGTAGCAGGTCTGTGTGCGGGTTGTTGCCTGGGGCTTATTCGTTTGCATCTGCTTTCTTTCTTTTCCTTTCAGTTCTGCCCCTTTTCTTCGTTTTTGGTTTCTTTGGCGGGTTAGTTGGCATTGGCATGACAGCGAACATGCGATGTGTGCAGAGTGGCAGCGGCCTCACTAAGGTCAGTAGCAGTGGTGGACATGGCACCTTCCGGTGATTGGAAGTGGCAGCAGCAGGGGCAAGGATGTCCTTGTTCGGAAATGGCAGTGGTGAAAGCAGCAAAGCTCCTCCAGTGACCAGAGGCAGCGGTAGTGGCAGACTCTTCAAGATGGTGGCACTGACAAGGCAACATCTCAGAGGAGGGCTGCTGGAGCATGACTCGTGGCACGGTGGTGGCCTGGCCTGTCAGTGGAGACAAGGACTCCTATTTGCAGTACGCCGGGAGAGGGGACTCCTGGCATCAAGGCGGTAGCAGAGGCAGGGACTCCTCATTGCAATCACAGTAGGCCCAGTGTGGGGTCTCCTGATTTTTGGTGAGGCAGTGGTGCCAGCAGAGCCGGGGACACCTTGTTGAGGGGGTAGTGTGGATACAGCATGAGATTTAGCATCGGTGAGGTGGGCCTAGTAGTGAAGAGATGGCATCTAAAGAGTGGTGACTCCTACCTTGGTAGGTCAGGTGCAGATGGCAGCAAGGCAGTCGGAGGAGGGGTGGTGGCACAGGTGTTGCTGGTGACCCAGCTCAGGACTTGTGGA